ACATGTGTGCCAGAATGTGGGAATCAAGACAAACTGATTTAGAATCAGTAGGGCACATGTCAGTATGACTAAATCACATTATTGTTCTAAGTAAAAACAAAAAAAATCTCTTATTTTATCATGAATAAAAAAAATTGTAACTTAAAGCCTAGGCAGCCTACGTGGTTTGGTCTGTGGCTACCAGGAGCATTATGGGTACTTCATTGTATTAGAGAGGCCTCGTGTGTGTATTATGTGTTTTGAAGTACTATTACCCTTGAAGCGTTTATATTTCATATCAACATCCAATAAATACTTTCTAAATGATACATATACATACATAATAATGTTTTTTTGGTTTCCATCAAATCTATTTTTGCTAAAGATTTTAACTAAATTGAATTTCATTTCTGCTAAACATAAATTTGTAATTTAATTTTTGCTAAACATTTGATGAATTCAATTGAACAGTCAAAACGTTTCCCCAGAGGTTCACATATCTGTGGCTGAGAACACATCATAAGCCTTTGCATATAGAACTATTGCACTTTGTGTTTTGTATTAAACTTGTATTCTTGAAATGTGTGGGCTTATTTAAAAACCACCTGCAAGGTTCAGAAATCTCTAGTAACCAGCAATAGTTCTTTTTATACCGACCTGACTCTATTGTGCCAAAGTTTTTTTGAATATTATGGATTACCAGTCTTTGCAGAGCACCACTATTTGCACCGCTTTGTTGAAATTGTCTGATAAAGTTGACTAAAATGTTATTGCTTTTATTTAAAACTTAGAGTTACTAAAATGTAAATATAATGTTTGCACATTTTGTAAAATGTCTACACCCCGCAATAAAGCTGAAATTTGTATATGTATTTCGGTTTTCCTAACTACAGTATTTACTAGGAATCTTACTATGAGGCTATAAAATGTACATGATTGTAGGTAAACACATATAAAATAATGATAGAAGTGATAACAGGTATTTCTCAAAGAGTATAAATACATATGTGGTTATGTAATCTTTAATTTGTTATGTACTCTGATTACCAGGATTCTTGTTTAGTTATACCACCCACATGGTTAATCTGATCGCAACGTGTCTCATGGATAGTGGTTAATTTAGTGCAAAAAAAGGTTAAATATTGATCGTTCCATGGCTACCAAACAATAGAACCCTTACTCATGTTTTCACTATCATAGCATATTTGGAATGTAATAATGCCTTTATCTCAGTTTTTTAACTTTGGCACAGTCTTTTAGTTAGATTGGACCGATGATAGAGGTTCTGTTATCGTTGTTTCAGTTTTTCTAAAGATGGCTGTAATTTTGGTGTATAGGTGAACTCGTATGTGGACCAAGGACCGCAACATCATTAATGTATCATTATTAACACTTTCTATCAGGGAAAGACTTCCTGATCTAGACCAACTATCTTTTACAGCCTCCTACCTAGCCCAATTGACTGCCTAGACTTAACATCACACTAACAAGATGTCTTAGCCAGATAAGACAGGATGGGAGTAGAGAGCCTGAAAGATAATGAACCCAATGTCAGTACACCTAGGGCCAATAACTAGAAAGGCTGGCAAAAAAAACACCATACTATGCTAGCAATGTCGGGAAACATGGGGTGGATTTGGTAAAGGCAAATAGGCTGTTCACTTTGCAAGGGAATGTGGTGAAAAATCACTTTGCATATAGAATACCGGTAAAGTGTAAGGAAAATTTCACATGCACATGATTGGATGATGAAATTCAGCAAAGCTTCACCTCATTAACTGAGCTAAAGGAAAAAGTCCCTTACAGTAAAAATTCCCATGCAAAGTGAACAGCGTATTTGATTTTAGTAAATCCAGCGCTATGTTTCCCAACTTTGAGTTTGTACACTAGAATCAAACTGCTCTTTGCACATTCTTTGCACAGGTTGAGATGGTCATGATCCTAGTAACATTGCCTATCACAGCACTGAAAATAATTGTGTTTAAAAGCAAGTACATGGTATCTCTGAAGACATTACATGCCTACTTTACCATTAGAGAAGCTGCTATCCCCATCTTATCATTACATGCAATGTGGTTTAATTGTCAGGCTGTCAATCATAGCAGAATAAATGTAAACAACACTATGTGGATGCTTCTATCATATTCATAAGATTAAAGTTTAAACTCAGGAGTTAAATCTTAAAAGAACATTAAAATACCTTAACTATTAACAAAAATGTATCTAATTTATGTATCACTCAGCTGTAGATCCTCAAATCATCTCTGAATTGGTGCTAACACTGTGCTTCCTTCTGGAGGGTGGCTACTTTTGTTCCCATGGTCCCTGTGTGTTGTAAAGTAGTCACCACTCCAAGCTCGCTCCCGTGATGGACTACAATCTCATGTTTAGTTAGCTAATTTGTATTGAGTAGACATGTGCACTGACAAAAAAATTGTTTTGTTTTGATTCGGATTTTGTGTTTTTCGTTTTTCGGGATTCGGGTGTGAAAGTCAATTCGGATTTGGAATTCGGATGCAGTTCGTTAGCAGTAGTTTGTTCGAATGTTCGTTTAGTTTCTTATTCGTTTTGTTCATTCGTTCGTTGCAGCAAAGTGACATTTGAGGGAAAAAAATGTTTTTCTCCTTCTCCTTCCTGGTTGGACGGCTCCGGCTGGGTACCGGACGAAGGCCGCGTTCTCGCTGGAGAGGCCCCGGGGGTGACAGGCTGCACATACTAAGGTAAGAGGGGACTTTCTTGTTAATCGGGAAGTCACCTGGCTTCCTGAATGGGACTTCCATTACTCGGTAATTGGTATCGGCGAGTACCGAACATTTTTTATCGCTACCAAAATACCAGTATCGGTGCATCCCTAGTTATATCTGTGATTCGGATACACCTGTATGTCCGAATTTCCAAAAATTCGTCCGAATTTCATTTCGGAACGAAACGAATCTCACATGTCTAGTATTGAGATTGTAGTCCATCACGGGAGCGAGCTTGTAGCGGTGACTACTTTACAACACACACAGGGACAATGGGGAACAAAAGTAGCCACCCTCCAGAAGGAAGGACAGTGTCACCATGAATTCTGAGAGTATTTGAGGATCTACAGCTGAGTGATAAGATACATTTGTGTTAATAGTTTAGGTGATTGAATGCATTTTTAAGATTTAATGCCTAAGTTTAATGTCGCTTTAAATCCTTCAACAGGCAGGCTTGCTACTGATGTGGTTTTCAGTAACATTTTAGAAAATGCAGACCTCAGGCACTACACTAATGACACTTAATTCATTAGACTTACATTCACTAGGAATGTCCATGTTGTATAAGTCTTGTAACTCAAATTCTTCTCTTTGCATGTTCCAAAAGAGGGCCTTTGGTAAGTCGCATCAAGGGAACACTTTTTTCTGGATGCCAGAAGACATCCTTCCTGGATACAATTGGGCACTGAGATGTGTATAATCACACTGGGTGTCTTGTATAAAAACTGGAGCAAGGTAAAATGTTGTCAATGCCAAACTGCTATTAACTTTCCTATCTTTGATTCATTACTAGAATAACTGATGGATTTTAACTGTATAAAATATCTTAATTTTCCCTCCACATGATCTTTATATATGAGGCTCAGTTCGATAATGTCAGAAAGGTGTTTCATTTGTGAAAATGAATAAAAAAGTTAAAGACACATATCATGTACATTTGGAAAGGGAATGAAGTGCAGAGCATGTTGCTCACAGAATGCACATATGGAAGCTTGATCAGACCCTATAAATCATTAAATTACTTTAGAAATATCAATCAAAAAAAAAATAATTTGATTATAAACTTTCTACAAAATGTAATTTAAAAGAACTTCAGCCATTTCATTTGGATATCTACTTACCTTCTTTAAACTGTCTGAAGTGCAAAGGTGTTGCCATAATGCTTTAATATATACCCTTGTTTCAGAAATCTTGAGCTTGTGCTGACCAGAGTTACCGTTTAGATGCTGGCTGATATGAATTTATAGCTGTGGGTATAACATTGTGTGAACTGTATGAATTGTCTTCAGTAAATGCACTTAATGGATTTGATTGGTTACAAAATTAGCTTGTTGTTTTAGCCATATCAACCCCTTACAGTCTATCTGTTGTCAGCCCAGGTTAGAAAATGTTAGTCCAGGTTAGAAAATTATAGCCAACATCTGATTAATGGAATAATTTAATTTATAATTATAAAATTTAGTGTAGGGTTCTTAGTTTTGAAATGTTGGCTTATTGTGCATAGGCACCAAATCTTTTATTAGGATATACTGATTTATCTTAGTCTGATTTTCTTACATCTCAAAAACCTGGCATTTTTACAGGGATTTTTTTATATCCAATGTATTGATTGTGATATTATTTTTGCCACTAGTATTGCCATGGCAATATTATTATTATTAGTATTTTTATTGCTGAAAATGGTTTTGGGATAGGTTTAGGCTC